GTAAACAAGCAAGACATGAGTGCGGTTTTTATTTCTTTTTTTTGGCACTGGCAATTGAACCTAGGACCTCGCGCTGGCCAGGTCCTCAGCGCTGGACCGCTATGCTACATCCCCATTCCAAACGGCTTTCTTCATAAGTCTGGCTGTGCAAAAGAGACACCATCAGTGAGGGGAAGGGGACAGAGACTTAAGAGGGGTAGGGTGAGGACGCAGTTTAGTCAGAATTTATCATCTGGAGTCGGTCATTTTGACGTTCTGTGGGCTTCTCTACTTACTCTTTAACTATGCACAAACTACTCAACACCTCTAACTCCGAAAGCGATAAAACAGTAACAATCACCTAGCCAGGTGTGAGACACACACCTACAGTCCCAGCACTCAGGAGGCTGAGTCCAAGGCCAAGCTGTGTTACACGGCGAGTTCAAGAGCAGACTAACCTAGATAAAGACCCTATCTCAAGGGGGGAAAAGTGTGCGTGGGAGAGGGGGGTCGGGGAAAAAGGATGTGTTCGTTGGGGACTTCAGCAGGCAGGCAAAGCAGAGCAGGAGATGGTGCGGAACGATCGCGAGATCCCAGAGAGGCGCGGGAGGCGCTTGGTGGACGCCCAGCCCAGCCCAGCCCGCAGCTCCGCAGCTCCGAGCAGGGCCGCGCCTCGAACCCTGCGCCCGCGCCCGCGAGCAGGTGGCAGGCTGCGCGGGCTGCACGTGACGCCCGCGCAGCCGACGCCAGCCACTTACCAGCAGGCTGTCCACGTTGATGGGGTCGCGACAGCGGCGGCGCACCGGCTCCTCCGCTGGGTCCAGCAGGAGGCTGGGCAGTCTCCGTGCCGGCCGCTGCTGGCTCATGGCGCCGGTCGCCCAGCGTTCCTCGCGTCCCGCGGGCTCTCCCGCCTTCCGCCGCCTCAAGCTCCAGGGCCCGGGTGCCCGGAAGCAGCGGGTCTGCGAACGGCTTGAGGGAGAGTGAGAGCTTCGAGGAGAAGCCTTCTTGGCTTTTGCCTCCCGAACCCGAGAGCTCCCGCCGCCGGCGCGAG